GCTGCGGCAGGGACCGGTCTCCACGAAACCAGGAGGCCACCTGAGCCGGTCGCACACTATTCACCGTGGGGATGGGCCGAAATACACAGGCCAACTTGGCCGGGTAACCCTCGATGAGTTTGGGCTGTGAGCGCAGCTCCATACGATCACGCAGAGAAGAGCGTTCCTTCTCCATGCCCAGACTTCCATAGAGGTCGGAGTAATCGATGCTCGGCTCTGCACTGCCCAGGTGGTCGTAGAACTCCTTTTCGGACGAATTGAGCATCTTCAGTTGCACATTGATGGGATCATAGAGCTCCCAATCGATTTCATAGTACGAGGGATCGAGTGACTGTTTCGAAAAAAACATACATTAAATGTTCATCTAGTGAGCAGATGATTTTGGGTAAAATAAAAAATTAGAAAATCCACCAAAAAGCGAAGCTTTGTCCCAAATAACCATTTTGGTATATGGATACGAAGCCCTCGTGCTTCAAAGAAGTTTACCGATAGAGTTTATACAAGAGAAAGGGCTTTTAAAGTATCAAAGAACAGGCAAACCTCAAAGCTGTCAAAGGAAGCGAAAATGCTTGTCCCGGGAAGTAACTGAAAAAAAGCAGATTTAATCGTTGGGACAATAAATCTACGTGCCCGACCTTTCGAAAAGCTGCACGAACAGACCTACAGCCACGGCAGAAAAACGTTCGGTGTTTTCTTTAGGATATAGTGCATTTGTGAACAAAATAACTACGTCGGTGAAACTGGAAGAATTCTCAAGCCGCGAAGTTTCCGAATGCATGGCAGCAGTGCGGAAAAATGGTGCGAATTCTGAAGTCGCGGCTCATACTTGGCCACACAGTCAGATGTGATGAAGCCAAAATTATTGCGAGAGGTGACAACTGTGCGAGGCTTGCGTCATAGTTTACTGACCCCTAGTCTATAAACAAGTTCAACAAACTGCCCAATACGTATTCGTTGCTGACGCTCAGTTTTGCCAAAGACGCCACTAGGGGAGTACACCGGTGAAGGCATCGTCTAACTTCAGCTTCAAGTTCTGGATGAAGCGCCGTAAAAGAAGAAAAGAGATTCGGCTTGTTCGATAGTTGTTTGCAACTGTTCATGGAAAGATCGTGAGAAACAAGCACGTTTACAAGAACAGAGATTTGGACAAAGTTGTCCTTGTCTGTTTTGGATAAACTAAAATGAAGCTTCTAAACAGGTG